ATTAACTGACAATTACATAACATTTGAAATTACATGATAGGGTGGGCTTTCAGCTAACTAACATCATGTAGCTCATTTTAAGCAAAAGAAACTCTAATTACGAAACTCTGAAGGTAACAAAGTTAAGTGTAATAAAGCAGCTAGATAGCTAACTACTGACATTAACTTACAGCGTCTCCACCAGCGTGTGACGCACTGGACTGGAGCAGCTGCCGCTGCGAGTGATGTGGGCAGACAAGACGTTTGGAAATGGTATGGTCCATTTTAGGGGTGTCAGAAATCGTATTTCAAGATTCTTAAATATAAAGGCATGAGTATGGGAAATATATTGTAATATTTACAATGACAGGTATGAAAGACCCCCCTAAACTGTTGTTTTTGCCTCTTGGGTGGGTCCAAGCCTTAACTAGGGTGGTCAGACCCTCCCAATCCCCCCGTAATTCGAACTATGGTTGTTGTTTTCTTTAGCTAGAAATAATCCCATACTTTGGACACATTCTTCTTTGTCCCTTCTATTTTCTCTCTTCCTCCGCTTTGCAAACAGCGCCATTATAATCACGTCATATTCACAGGATAAGCGCAATGTGCGACAGTAATAAATGTCCGTGTGAAAAACTTTGCTATGTATAGTTATGGATTAAACGATGCATTGATGCAAAGAATTTGCGTCAATGCATTTTATTAATCGATTTAATCGACAAATCATTTCAGCCCTACGATGGATGACAACAAACTTGAACTAGCAGCCAAAAAAAACCTGCTCAGCTTCCAAACTGCAGTCTGAAGAGGAGCCTTCACTTTCTCAGTAGTAGGAAAACAGACAAGCTTTGATTAATGGAGACGCTGTGACCTACACTGTACATTTCCTGCCAGACTGAAACGTAGCGCTCATATTTTCCTCTGCTCCGCTGCTTTCATCGTCACCTGCTGCCACCTGTCACGTTAGCTTTGAAGAATGAGAAGAGGACGCTAGCTAAGCACTACCGTGCTGCACAGTGTGCGGGTTAAAATCATTAACGTTAGTTGCGTATTGGTTTTGGTCATGTGAAAGTCCAGAGCTGCACTTTCACATTTCCAAGTTCCACCTTTTCCTTACGTCAACATTACGTTATCAATTAACCTCTAGATAACCGATTATTGTCATTTGTGAATCGATTCAGAATCATCCAAGTCCGCATCACGTTGCATCTAAAAATCTATTATTTTCCACACCCCTACTGAAGACAGTCTGAGTAAATAAGATATGACTCTTCACAGTATGTATCTACTTGTACATGAGTTCATTGTAGCCGGTCCTGATTAAATAGTCAAAAGCCAAATCTATTGTGGACCCTACACATTAGATTTCCACTGTGAAGGAAAAGCCTTGGAAAGCAACAAGCAGCAATAGAGAGAGAGAAGAAAAAACAGAGGGGAAGCTATTAGTAGGCAGCACACGGGATCTCAACCTTATGCCTGTCCTGGAACTTGTCCACTGGCTGGAAGTCTCTCCAGTCAGCCAGCAGTTTAGCTTCTATCCCACTGAGGCAGTTTATCTGTCCTGCATATGGCATAGCAGACAAGAAGGGAGTCAATTATCCATCTATTCTTGTTTCTATTAGGTTCTGCCATCCAGATATTTCCACCAACAACTTCATGAAATTGGTATCATCCTACACTGGGACACTGCCCAAGTAATCTGATCTGGCATACTGTGGTGTTTCCAGTTGTACTGAAAATATGTTCTACAGCTCAGCCAGCCATCCACGTTCAACTGAAACATGCCTTGATGCCTTGATCCCCATAAATATTTCTATGCTGTTGATACTCATCAACAGAAGTGACATGACTGAACATTTCAATGGTCACCGAGTATAATGGTTATTTTTCCCCCAGCAGAACTTGGATTTAATGAACAGCTGTGTTAGTAACCAGCCATTGAATGGCAGCATGGCTGTTGTGCAGCATCAATTACTAGAAAACTGAAACAGACAAGAGCTGTATGTGAGCAAGCTAATTGCACTCCCTTGCACAAGTACGCTACATGATGTCGCTGGGGAATACTGATGTACAGGATACACACCAACGTTAACTTTAGAGGTCACACGCTCTGCATAGCAAATTCAGTTTTAACATGTTTGCTATCTAAATAAAGAACACATGTTACAAGGTTGAATTACTAAATAATAATAATAAAATCATATATTCCTTGCTTCAAAAATGTCAATTTCACAAACTGATTGAGCTGCAGCTGCGACTGCAGATCAGGGTTACTGCGTTAACTTTGCACCTCTGAAAGAAAATATCCACTTGGATAAGCCCAGCCCTACAGAGAAATTATTGGCCTAATGAAAGGATCTTGAGAGTACAGTGAGCTGCATTTTGAACTGTGTGGAGTGAAGATGGGGAAAACACTGTGGATATTGAACAAAAACATATATATATCTAACCTCTTTTAAAATCTTTAACATTCAAAACAGTGAAACCTTTCATTTTTCCACTTTGTGTTTGCAAAAGCTGTAGAGCTCAAAATGACAACGAACAAAAATAACCACGGAGTACTACAGGGAGGACTTTTTCCAGTAGCATCTTTCATTAGCCCAGCCCTGCCTGGTAAATGCCCACATCTTTCAAACTCCACACCTCCAGTCTGTAATGTAGACATCACTATGACATCATCAGGGTTATTTACATTTACATTTATTCATTTAGCTGACGCCTTTATCCAAAGCGACTTCCAATTGCTATACATGTCCCACACCTCTGGAGCAACAATCCACTGCGCCATCACCACCCATCATCTTCTTAAACTTGACAAAGCTCCGCCAGAATCACAGACAACATTATACAACTAGCTATGACAAAGAAACCTATCTTCATGTTAAAAATCTGTGGGGTGCCCATTTAATAAACTAAAATTTAAACAATCATGATGGCTTGATAAGAAGACTACTGTAAAGTGACAAAAAACAATTTATTTACTAAAAACAACAAATGACTTACATTCAATCAACTGCCTGTACAAGCACATGGGAATGCCACCTCCCTCGCAGCCTGGATGTACCTTAAATTAGCAGCTACATGATCGATTTAGTTACAGATTCATGAGAGCTTGCTGGCATGGGCCTCCTCTGCACAGTACTGCTCTGTTGTCCACTCTTGTGTCTGACTGGATTAGGGAATCAAACAGTATACAGTTTTACAGCATTTTCATTATATTTCCCTGGGTCACCTCCTGGGGGCCTTTTGTCCCCAATCCGCCCGACTCAGTCCTGACTGCTGACCCCCCCTCCACCACCAAGATTCACCGGACAACTTTTATAATGTAATGGCCGTGGCCAAACTGTTATCTATACCCTGTCATCTCTGATAAAAAGAAATAATCTGCTGCAGTGGGCAACCCACTAAGCACACACACCCTTGTACTGTACATGACATCACCTAGAAGCAATTTAGCAGTAGAATATACCCTTTTTCCATTTGGTTTCTACCCTATCTTCTTTCTCTTCACTCCATCTTTCTTTTATCTCCTTTCTCTTCTTTTCACTCACTCACTCTCAGTAGTAATGTTGGACCGCTGTCTAATGTATGCTAAGCTGCTGCTGCCATGGTAACCCCGGTGCAGGATTTAGACCCAGTTCAGGACTGGAGGGGCGGTGTGTGAGGGGCAGGTGGAGGGGCTGAGCTGCCTTAACCGGAATGCCCGCACCAGCCTCAAAAGATAATAATAATAATAATAACAGCAGCACAAATTTGCAAAAACAGAGACAGATGTGTAAAGCCAGTGTGACACACACACACACACCACTAATCCAGCAGTGGTAACCCACATCATGCTGCCTTAGCAATAATGTCGGTGAGAGAAGCCATTGGCTACCTGCTTGGATGGCATTGGAACAGTATATTTCAGTGCTGGTGAAGTCAGAATGTGAGCGGTGACTAACAGAAATAGTAAGGGAATGACAGCTGAATGACTCACAGTATTAATTTCCATCTCTGATTGTACAACATGTCAAAGGAGATCCCCAGGATGTGCTGGAGATTAGTTATACCTCACTGGCAGAAAGTGTAACAACTGTAATGTAGAGGAGATCAGTGATATCCCAGCAGCACCTAATAGCTGATGACACATGCCTGGAAGCCTCTAACAACAAAAGGTTAATGGCTGTTTGTTATGTGTGCTCTTATCGCCTGCACGTGCGACGGCAGTGTTTGTCCTAAAACATCCCTGTGAAGCATGTATGTGTGTCGGACACTAGTCCGCCTGTGTTTTTGTGAATGTACATGCTTGGGGGTGCGTGTGTGATGACAGTGCATGGGCATGTGGGTGTGGGTGTAGCGATGACGTAATTAGCTGAAAGCTGATACACTCGTGCCTCTCTGTGGAGGCGGTGGTCGTTGGAGCTGGGAGTTGACTGGCTCGGTCAGTAAAGGAAATCTGAATGAGGGGTTTCCAGCGGTGACGGTTAGTGCTGGCTGTCGCCCAGTTGCTATGGGTTGATGGGGTGTGGGTGGGGGTTAAATAGGGGATGGGGTGGTGACTGTGCAAACTCACAGCTATAGCATCTGATGCCTCCCCCTCCTCCCCTGGATGCGGATACCCTGGTGTCATTTCTCCTTGAGGCATAGAGGAAGCCAAGCCCCCCCCCCCATCATCCACACACACTCCAGCACATGCACGCACACATGCACACTCTACGCCGGTACTGCTACAAACACAAACCAGATTCTCTAACTGTCAAAACCTGAGCTCTTTCCTCACATACAGTAAGAGTAATGATAAGAGAGGGAGACACACATGCTCAGAGCATAAGAAGAGAGGCCCACACATACATATTCATACACACACAAACACACACACATTTACACACACATTTTTGCCCCTTACTCTGACTATAAACAAACTAGCATGCTCATCGAACCACAACCAAAGGTGTGGTCCTCTCCACACACACTCTTCCTCCCCTCTTCACTCTGCTGGAAAACTGAGGTTGTGCGCCAGCCTCGTCCGGTGCTCTTACCTGTCCAAGATGTCATGGCTGGACGTGGCTGTGGCTCCCAGCAGTCCTAGTGCCGCGCTCCCCACCGCTGCGGCAGCCCCGCTGCCTGCCTCCATGATACTGACTCACTGCAATGAGCAGCCTGCCAGAGAAGCGGAGAGAGGGAGGGGAGGGGGAGGATGTAAAGAGGTAGATCAGGAGGGAGAAAGACAAATGAAATAAAAGAAATCACATGTAGAGGCAAGAGTGAGGATGACGGAGGGGGAAAGCAGAGGGAGAGGAATGAGGTAGATAATGAGAGAGGAGACAGGACTGTGAAAGAGATGAGTGGTGAAAAGGGAAGAAGAAAATCAGTGGGAAGATTGCCATGGGAGCAGGATGAGAGAACAGGGTAGGGGGGAGAACAAAAATGTATTAAAATAATTGTGTGTGTAGTCTGTAGATCAAATAAGTCATGTTGATGGAGCTTTGTAAAGCAGGATTCCACTTCGGTGTTAACACATGGAGATTCTGGCACACACATTCGAGTGTGACTCAACAGTCAAACACCAGCATTGGCTGCCCCGCTAGCCTGTGGTGACTGTGCTCTCTGAGGTCTCTATCCTCAACCCACAATATCAACTGTCATGTACATTTTTTCCAGTCAATTCATTTTGTTTTTAAAACTCAAGACACTCTCTGACTTACCAACAGCTTTCGTCAAAAACTGTCCGACTGTATACTGTAAAGCTACTGTCCAATCAGAATTAATAATAATTCCCCACCCAAGTGTAAGATTAATAAATGCAACACAATCACACACCCTAAAACACAAGCTTGTTATGTAATAGAAAACTTACTATACGATTTCTGCAGACACAACAGACGCTCTGACAAACACAATGCACCGTGTTCCCAGAATAGCTTTAGGTCAGCCAATTTAAGTTATACTAGCAGAGAGCTTGTGAACCTTGTCCCATTACTAATGCTTCAAAAGCAAAACAATCTTGACATGATAAGATGTGACCCATAAGACCCCCACATCACTCTCTGGAAAGAATGTATTGAGAACAATTAAGTTTATCATTAATTTCTGTGCTCAACCATATCACTTTGATTTGTTAAATTTCCCCCAGATATTCCTTATTTCTTACCCTCTAGTAAACAAAACATGCACAGACCAAAGATCAAAAAATCGTCTTTAATGTTCAAGCTACTGTACTGCCAGTAGGTGAAGAAGTAGCGTTGTTAGAGGACTAAAATAATATTTTGACTAACAGAAAATTATATTATGATCACTAAACACCATTATCTCACCCAGTAGTGCACCTGAACTATCTGACAATACCAAGCCCTGATTACACGTTTGTGTTTTTTCTTTGATGCTATTATTCCCAGGGATCCAACGATCAGCATTTAGTTTATCATGCGAAAAAAGCACAAACAAAAATGTAGATTTTCTCAAGATTGGTCTGCATTTGCATCAGCATGTTCTGTTAAAGTGAATTTAATATTATTTTAATTTAAATAATTTGTTTTTGATTATTTTAATGACTGTGAAAAAATCAATTTCCTGAAGCCCAAAGTGACACTCATTTGAGAAGCTGAAACAGCAGAATCTATGGCATTTGTGCTTGAAAAATTACTTTAAAATCAGTCAATTATCAAAATTGCTGCTTATTATTTTCTCGGCTATAGGATTATTCCGCTGATCATTTCAGCTTCAAAGTGCATTTTAACTACTTTATTAGAACAGTTCTCCAGCCCAGACTCTAAATCAGTTAATACAAGAGGAGGTTTACTGACTAGACAACCACTCTGGTGTTCTCACTTATGGTCATTGTTATGTATATTTTTCACACAGTCCGTGCATTGCTATCTGTTGTTTAAAACTCCCATTTAGTGTGAAGGTTACGTTGGGACTGTCAACAGGGCTCATCTCCTACCCAGTGAATCATCGGTGTACCCATAATCACAGCAAAGTACACCCTCATGGGTATTATTGCTATAATACGACCCACCACACAGCACACACAACCTCCCAATGAAATCCAAATGTGACGTTGACAGCAGACGAAAATAGATGACAGGAACACAGCAGGAATGACCCAATAAAACAGGGGAGGAGAGAGGAGTCCATACAGCCTAGATTTCTGTTGTAGTCAATGGCTGTGTGCTTTAATCCCAGGAGGATGACGCCAAGAGGATGGAGGGAAGGTGGGGGGCACAGGAGGAGAAAGCGTGGGAGGAGGAGAGGATCCTCACAGGCCACACTGAAGCAGCTGGTTGTACATCTGAGTTAGACTTACTGGGCATACATCGTCCCCAAGGCTCTCTTTGGTGTGCAATTTAGTCAAAAAAAGCATCATACATTATATACGGCACATACCATCTATAATAAAAGGCATAAGCCGATAACAGATACAGCAAATAAAATATCTATTCTAAAATACAGATTTTTTTTTACTGTAAAAGGAATTCCTCTGAAACACTGAAGTTAATTTGACGTCTTTGAAAGAGTTTTTCATTCAAAGTGATTCAGGGATCTTCACTCTAAATAAAACAAGGCAACTGTATGAATCATGAGTGATTAAGCCTCCCTCTGGACCAATCAGAAACTAATGCGTCACCTTGTTTTGACCTGTGATCGTCCATGGCATAAGAACATCCAGATGTCCTCGCCACCCGTGAGTCTGGATGGAAAGATTATCAACTTCTGTTGCTCTATACGTAACAACTATTAGAAATTATTAGCAAATGGAAGAAGTTCAGGATGACGGCCAATCTCCCTCAGTCTGGGGCTCCATGCAAGATCTCACCTCGTGGGGCATCAGTGATCATGAGGAAGGTGAGGGATCAGCCCAGAACTACATGGCAGGACCTGGTCAATGACCTGAAGAGAGCTGGGACCACAGTCTCAAAGAAAACCATTAGTAATACACTACGCTGTCATGGATTAAAATCCTGCAGCGCACGCAAGGTCCCCCTGCTCAAGCCAGCACATGTGCAGGCCCGTCGGAAGTTTGCCAATGACCATCTGGATGATCCAGAGGAGGAATGGGAGAAGGTCATGTGGTCTGATGAAACAAAAATAGAGCTTTATGGTCTAAACTCCACTCGCTGTGTATGGAGGAAGAAGAAGGATGAGTACAACCCCAAGTTTGGGGATGCTTTTCTGCAAAGGGAGTGGAGGATGGATGGGGCCATGTATCGCAAGATCTTGGCCAACAACCTCCTTCAGTAAGAGCACTGAAGATGGGTCGTGGCTGGTTCTTCCAGCATGACGACGACCCGAAACACACAGCCTAAGGAGTGGCTCCGTAAGAAGCATCTCAAGGTCCTGGAGTGGCCTAGCCAGTCTCCAGACCTGAACCCAATAGAAAATCTTTGGAGGGAGCTGAAAGTCCGTATTGCCCAGCGACAGCCCCGAAACCTGAAGGATCTGGAGAAGGTCTGTTTGGAGGAGTGGGCCAAAATCCCTGCTGCAGTGTGCAAACCTGGTCAAGAACTACAGGAACGTATGATTTAAGCTGGGTCTCAGACACCAACAGCCTTGTGTTGGACAGATTTGTGCAACGGTGTCTATGAGGGAGCGAGAGTGAGAGGGACGAGAAAGAGGGACGAGCAAGAGGATGTGCTGCGTGAATAAGCGCTGCCTGCAGCTCTGCAATCAAATATGATTTTAGGCCTAGTAAAAAAATTGAAAATCTATATGTGGCTGGTTGATATTGTGGTGGGCCGGCACAAATAAATTAACGTATGGGAACACTGCTCATGTTCAAAACTTTCTGCACATTCAGAATCTCTCCCACGTATCGGTGTTCTCTGACATGTTAAAAAAAAAAGTCATAATATTAGGAGACTAACGTTATTAGCCTATTTAAAGAGAATTCATAATATTTTACTACATGCCCTATACTCTTTATATATTACTGATTCGCTGGAAGTTTCCCCTCGACCGTCTGACAGACACAGAACTGGATGAGACGAGGAAGTGCTCATGCCGGGGGAAAACAAAACTAACCAACACCTGTGATCAGGTAGAAATCTCACGAACAAAAACACAAGTTAACTTCAGCACCTCTGATAAAGTGCCGCTTACAATCCCCAACAGAGCAAGTCAGGGCTTCAGTTCCTCTCCTCCAGTCGCAGTGGACTAAACTGGCAGGTTTTAATGTTTCAGACTACAGTTTTTTAGCAAGTAGTTTAAAGTTTAAAACTTGTATTGTTGTGAATCTTTGGTGTAAACTCGCTTAGAATTTCCAACCAACAAATGCCCACCAAAGGCAGCTCAGCACCCCCCTTTCCAAAATATTGCTTCCAGCGCCCCCCATCATCCTCCGAACGCCCCCTGGGCCGTTGAGAAACACTAATTTAAATCATGACACGGCGATATCGACTGCTATGAACCAGTGAGTGGTGTGACATGAGCATGACGGCAGGGTGAGTTGTGGATCCAGACACAGGCTAGATGTTGACATTCATCTCATGTCCTGGCCTACTGTAAACACCTGCTCTTACATCACCCACAAACAGCTCCCAAGTCCCACAGGAAAGACATGAGCTCAACCCATCGGACATTAACTGTGTTTTTGTGTGGCCGCACCTGCGTGCGTATGCGGTGACGCGAGTGTGAAAAAATACACATCTCTTTTGTTGTTGTGTGTAGAGGGAATCAAGTGTGTGCACTAGTTAAAAGAGGAAGTGAGTTTGTGTATGCCAGGCAGGCAGGGCGGAGAGGCCGAGCTTCACACAAATACCTGATGCAGCAGAAACCCCATAAAATGGCCGACCTTGAGAGAGGACAGAGCCTCGGCTCCGAGGAGATTAAAAATCAAGACTGAATAGTTTCTACACCATAAACATCCTTTATTCTCATCAGGCTCAAAGGGAATATCTATTCTCATCTATCTCTAATCTATTAGCGCTCACCCCTGGATGTCCTGTAATACTTGTGTCAGTGTATTTCAGTGGAAATTATACCATTTTTAGATGCCCGTGTGTCCTATCCACAACAGATAACCGGCCAGATAAAGCATCAGCATGTGCAGTGTGCAAGCTATTTAGTGGACACACAAAAGTCACTTGCTCTTTATATTTGACACTTAAAGGTCCAGTGTGTGTGATTTAGTGGCATCTAGTGGAGAGGTAACAGATTACAACCAACTGACTCTCCCTCACCCCCCCTTCCAAGCATGCGAAACTTCTGGACATTTAACAAGAGGTATGCCAATGTTAAAGTAACTTTATCAAGAGTCATACAGTATGTTGATGTAACTTTAAAGTTACTTTCAGATGCCAGATGAGCGACACTGACTATGAGTTTGAGTCCA